TAAATTTTTAAAAATAATTAAATTTTTGTATCACGTTACAGCTTAAACTTGCTGTTGCTCCTTTCCGAAATTTTTTTTTAGTTTCATAATATTTCATAACATGTCATAGCTTGAATTTTTTTATTTTTCCTAAAAATTTTGCTACCGCTTTTTCCAGTTTTGATTATTAAACAATAATATGTAACTCAAATGTTACATATTGCTTAATAATCAGAACTGAACAAAACTGAAACAATAAATTTTAATGACACTCATCAGTGATAGCGAACATAATTTACATTAAAATACAAAGTACAATTTAATATGTATAACTTCATTATTTCTAAGTTTGTCTCACAATTTTTTCTATCCCACTAGATTTTCAGTAAAAAATTATTTAAACTTAAAAATATTTAATAATAATGTTATTGTTTAAAAATTATTTATTTATGGTTTGTAAATAAATTTGATCAAAAAACAACTGGTAAATAATATAAATAATATTTATTTCTTACTTTTTATGCACAAAACTATTTATTCAATCAAATAATATTAATCATTCATTTATTAATAAAGTATCAAAAGTATCACAACTTTGATTGCTCTGAATATCAATAAGCTCATCATAGTTACGGTACTGGTTCCTAGCATGGACATTCCATTTTGCAGGACGATTTTTCTTCAAAAATATCTAATACGTGTAATGGAGCATGAATAAAAATAGATTTTGTACATACTTTTTATATGTGGAAATATGCTTCAACTTTTTAATCCCAAGAATGATCACTTATGAAACTTTAAAAATAATTTATAACACTTTTTTACTTATTTAAATAACTTTATACAATGAAACATTTTCTACGCACAACCACTTTTTCGAAGGGCATTTTCAGTTATGTATTTCCTGCAACAGACCCAAGCGGCGCGAAAGTAATTGTGCGCATCTTAATTCAGCTGTGGTAACTGAAAATTTTGTTACAGTTTCGTAATTTTCAGTTACTCTTTATACTTTTTGAAACTATTCCCAAATTTTCAGTTACATTTCATTAAATTTCCTTAACTAGTTACTGATTTTAGTTTGACTGAAGTTAGAATTCCGTTACTCATAAGGATTTTTACTAAAAATTTTGAATTTTGAGTAACATTTAGAAATCATAAGAAACGTGTAGTAAATTTCAAGCAAATGTAACATATAAATGCTTTCAGTACCATCATTTGGAAAATTTTGTTACATTTGTGTCTGAATTTTATCGGAATATTCAGAACATTTTTAATAGTGTATAAGTGGGTTCCTGTAAGGATTCAAATTACTTCTTATTGTATAGATAATGTATAGATAATAACCATTATATGGTTATTTAAAAATTTCCCTGGTAAAAATTCCGGACCAATTCCGGATTAAATACGGACAGATTAATATACGTATTAGTCCGAAAATTGTACGAAAAAGATCCGCGCTAGTCTGATAACAATCCGAACGAAAACCTGAATACGAAAACACTCCGGAGTAATCCTGAATGTCTACGAATTTAGTCTGTTATTAGTCCGCAACAATCCAAATTTATGACCGTTGAAGAATACTTCTAAAATAAGTACGGAATTATCCGATATGTAAAGAATACGGAATCAGTTCGCAACAATCCGCGTTTAATCTAGTTAAAAAAACTTAATCCGTAAAATGTCCGGAGCAATCCGAACTTTGTAAGCAAGAAATCCGGTATTAGTCCACACAATTTGAAATTAAGTGTGGCAAAATCCTATTCCGAAACAAGTACGAAACAATCCGAAATCTGTATGCTAAGAATCCAAAAATTGTCTGCAACAATCCGGATTTAATTCAACTAAAAGGTATAATCCGAAACAAATACGAAATAATCAAAAATCTGTACACAAAGAATCCGACATTAGTCCGCTTCAATTCGGAATTAGTGTGGTAAAATCATATTCCGAAACAAATACGAAACAATCTGAAATATGTATGCTAAGAATCCGGTAATAGACAGCCACCCGAATCATATTACATTCCTGGTAAAAATTTCGGACTAATCCGGATTAAATCCGTGTATATTAGTGTGGATTAGTCCGATAATTATACGAAAATGATCCGCGTTAATCTAACATCAATCCGAGTGAAATTGTGAATCCTAAATCAGTCTGGAGTAATCTTAAATGTCTATGAATTAAGTTCGTAATTATTACGCAACAATCCGAAATTATGTCCGTCAAAAAACTCATCTAAAATAAATACGAAATAATCCGAAATCAATATGTAAAGAATACGAAATCAGTCCGCAATAATCCGAATTTAATACAGTTAAAAGATTTAATCCGAAACAAGTATGGAACAATCCAAAATCTGTATGCAAAGAATCCGGTAATAGTCAGCGTCAATCCAAATAATATCCGATCAAAACACCCCAGTCCGAAAATAAGTCTTATTATTATAAGAATTTGTAAATATATACAATCCACAGACAGTTCAAAACAATCCATATTCAATCCAATTCAAAGACTTAATCCGGAATGATTTTGGTATAATATTGAATTTGTATATTAAAAACAATTTGTATTAAATGCAGATAAATTTAAACTATAATTATAATTTCGTATGACAAAAACCTGACCAAAACCAGATTAATTCCGGATTTAATAATTTCACATTTGCAATTTGCGTATTATCAGACTAACTTCGGACTAAACCGGACTAATTACGGATTCAATAGTTATAAAAAACGGTATTGATTTCAAACTTAATTCATGGTGAAAAAACTCCACAATCAACCGTACTGTTGCGGACAAATTCAGGATTAGTCCGAAATCGGTCCCACTTTTTATTCAGGGTATTTGCTTATGGTAAATAAAATATTTAATTCTGCAGTCAATTTGTTTTAATTTAAATTTTAAATTTACTAGTATTATTAGTTATCTTGTTTCAATATTAAAATTAACACTGATGTGTTAGTTTCTTGTCATTTTTTTTCTTGGAACTTGATAAAATCTATTATGAATTTGAACTCCCATGCGAGCGTGGTATAGTGTATTCGATATCAGTGCGATATAATGTTAGATAGGTGTAGGTTCGAATCCCCAAGCGTTAGAAATTTTAAGTTAATGTAAATAAAATTGCGAAAGGTAAATCGAAAAATATGTTCAGTGTACCGTAAAGTAATAATAATAATTAATATGTGTAACTTGTATAATTATTTTTTATTAACATTCATTAAATTGTCCGAACTAACTTTTGACTGTTTCGAACTAATTCCGGATTCACTAGAATTAACTGATTAATTTCGGACTTCATCGGACCAACTCCGATTTTACTAGTTGTTCATATAGAATTCGGATTTTTCCGGATTAATTTTGGGTGACAAAAACCTGACCATAAACCGCATTGTTTCGGACAAATTTCAGATTAGTCCGAAATCTGTCCAGTTTTTAAACCAGGGTTATTTTATTAGAGTTAAAAACTTGTGAGTCAACACGTTACTACTTGTTGACTGTGTGGGAAGTATGAGTGATGGATTGGAGTAGGGAGAATTATTGTAACGACGGACGTGAAATAAAAAATTTCCATATTTTTGTTATTGTTCTCACTGTCTAATTTATTGCAGAGGTTGGTGCAAATTAGTGTTACGGCACACGTGAGTAACTCGACGCGCTGTTGTATATGGGGCATTCTACGACAAATCGGAAATAATTTTGCTTTTGCATTTTAAATTTTTTTTAAATATTTTTTTCTTTTAGTGCTTGTTGAAATAAACTCCTCTAGAACTTTTAAACTTCATATTTTCGCTTATTATTATATTTTTAAAATTATAAAAATAATGTTGCAGTACCATAATTTGATAAATTATTGTGCTTCTTCTATTTATACCATGTGTTTAATAATCTTTTTAATTAGGTAGGGAAAAACAAAAGTAAGTGAGCAGTTAATGTTAGAATTTTTCGCTGATTAAGAATTTTAATTACGAATGAAGATTTTGACTTTATCAGCAATTAGTGACATATATTAGAAGTCAATTAAACTCTTTGGTTTAGAGTTAGGTGTTTTCATATGATAATTATTTCGAAATGGTTGTCGATAAATAATAAAATAAAAAAACACAAAAATAAAAAAATTTCGTGACCCAGAGGACAGACCCTTATATTCCTACGTTTTTGAGGTCGCTAAAACCGAATATGACCATGAAAATTTTTTTAAATTGCCCATTTTCCCGCTACCACCCTCTTTACACTCCTTTATAATTAAGAGCACATATTTTTTTTAGTCTTCAGTACATTCTACAAAAAGTGAAGTTTAATTCACCATCGTTTAGAATTGATTCGTTGTATGCCAAAAACGTTATGCCCGTAAGAACAAAAACTTGTACCTAGGGTAACACTGCAAATTTCATGATTTAGATTAATTTATTCTGTTTTATTATTTATATAAGGCAAGTAGGCTAACATTTATTTAACTTTCTTAGTTCCATAGATTCTTATCTAAAGAAAAGTATTACTTTCAGCCTATTTTCGAGGCTGAATTTAAGGTGTAAACGGAGTCAGACTTTTTTTCCTGTGCTTACATAATAATATTGAATGATAGTGAAACGTCAAATAGGTATTATAAGAAAGTTACAAATTTTACAATAACTTGAAAAAAGGATCAGCTACTTTTTTCGTCTTTGCGATTTTTTAAGCTCTAAATAAAGAAGAATGAAATGACACTACCCGATTTTGTCACCATTTTTGCAAAACCTAAATCTAATTAAAGCCAACTGTGTGTCAGTAACATGAAATCGACCGGTTCTGTGGATTTACCCATATAGCTATCTAACAATTTATATATATATATATATATATATATATATATATATATATATATATATATATATTTTTAAATTTTTTTGGGTTTTCTGAGTATGACAGATTACACAAAATTTTATTTGATATTTCTAAATGTTATTTTCAACCTTAGTTTATTCTAGTCGGTTTACCTTAGTCTTTATTGTAAGATGTTATTTTATTTTAATTATATTTAGATCCTGCTGTAAGGGTTGCTGCGCTTAGTGTATTTGAGGATTTGACTTTATCGGAACCAATCATACCAGAAATAATAAACAGTTTTAAATTACCACTTTACTTTGATGATTCTAGTACTTTGTCTTTGAAAAATTATGCAGCTTACCATAATAATGACAAGAATGAAATACATTTTAAAGCCTCAAGTAGCCATGATAATGTAGATGTAAACTGCGAAGGAGACATAAAAACTAGTTGGATATTAAAAATTTGTTTAGAAAATATTTCTGATGAGGTGAGATAAAATTACCATAAACTCAAATATTTAAAATTGGAAAGCGAAAATTCTAATTAAAAAAATTAAATTTTAGGCGTCAAGTATTCCTGTTCGACTTCAGTCTTTGAAATTACTGAGTGCTCTTTCTAATAATGTTGGAAAGCTCATATTTCCACATCTTAAAACAATTGCAGAAAAACTAATTGTAGCCGCGAAAAACACTGTACCTCAAATAATTCTTCATATATTTCGTGTCATAGATGTTATTACAGGACGGCTTGAGTCAAATAAAGAAGTTGATGAAATTATATTATTTTGGAATATTATTTGCGGACCTGTAATAAATGGTTTACAACATTCTGAAGCCATTTTAAAAGAAGTGGCTTGCAACTGTTTAGGTAACATTGGGTCGAATGTTTTTATTCAATTGAAAGTAAGTAATTTTTTTTCCAAATGATATAATTTTTAAAAAATTGTCAAAACATTTTCAAATGTATCCTGTTAAAATGCCTAATAAAAACCAGGCAAAACTCCTATAAAACTAGATTTTACACTGCCTTATAAGGAAAAGTAGAGGAGCGGGGAGCTGGTTGTAACAGTTTTCAGAAAATTGTGTAAATTATTAAATCTATCAGATGATTTTCTAAAAAAATTGATAGAAATGGGAAATTTTTGAGCGCAACAAGTGGGGTTGCCTCCTTAAGGGGGGAGGTATTAAATTTTTTTTCCATTTCTTTTTTTTTTTAATGAATGCATAATATCTCCAGAATATTGTGTAAAAATTTCATGTCAATCGGAGCAAAATTGAACCACCCAATTCTATAACTCGATCTGTTACAGTGCGCAATTCCCTTGGGCAGCTGTAAACTGATTCAAATAGGTGACTTTTAATGGTGTGCAGATTGAGTTATAGAATTGAGTGGTTCAATTGATGGAGTTATGAGAATTTGGGCGTCCGTTGGTCCACTCTTCAGGATTCATGTTTTTTATTAAATAATCATCTCGGTGGCTCAGAACGACACTATCTCAACTCTGGCGCGTGCTGGTATTCTGTAGTAACTCTTATACGAACGTTTCAGAGTTACTATACAGAATACCAGGACGCGCCAGAGTTAAAATAGTGTTGTTCGGAGCCATCGATCTGTAATTTGTTTATTTTTAAATTAAAAGTATTTTTGGATACACCATTTGAAAGATCGATTCCGAAGCAATAAGAAACTTCTATTGCCAAATTTTTTAAATTGCGTTTTAACGTTTCGAAAATAAAGCCAACCTTCAAGTATTGTGCATCTGATATTTAAAGGTTGAAGCGTTTTTCTGAAACTTGTTGTTTTTGAAGTCCGTGTACTGGACTAATCGTTCTAAAATTAGTCGATTTCTTATAGAAAAATGTCTTTTTGACTTCCAAGTGCTATAATTAGTGAAATGACTTGCTGATTGTAACGATTTTCTTATTTCAACAATAATTCAAAACTGCGACAGTATAAATTAACAAAATCAATAAAAATTATAAGACAAAAGATTTTAAGTAAATAAATAAAATAACGAAATTACATAAAAATACAAAACACGATATAAATAAACACACAAACAATTTACAAAAATAGATTAAAATTATATTTCAGTCAATTTTTATTATAAAAGCGAAACTGACGTCAGGAATTAATTAACGAAAATAATTGATAAACTAAAATAAAAACATACGCACATTTAACAATAAAATATTACAAGAAATTGGTCAAAAATAAAATATCACAATAAAATTAAAAAAGATAAATTAAGACGAAAACAAGTAAAATAAATAATCCGTAATTCGTTTCTCAACTAAATTTGCTCTCATATTTTAAACCCATCAGAATATTTGTAATAATAATATTTTAAATTCAGACATTCTAATATAATCTTGTACACTCGAAATTACATTGATATAAGATTAACTTACGCGTTACTTGTATGATGCTCACACATGTGTGAGAGAAACGGTTTTGTATCACGGTCTCATTTTGAGAGGATAAAATATTTCTGGTTCGTATTTGGAGGGGTGATAGAGGAATTTTACTCTCCTAGACGCACTGCTCTCCGTTTTTGCAATAATTTTGCGAGGAAATTATTTTGTTAACGATTGAAAGTGGAGTAATTTGAGGTTAATACATTTCCTTATAGTTAAAGTCGCGGTCACTTCCGAGAATTGGCGCCACCTCCTTGACCACTGACACATAGATCCACTTGTCTGTGTGCTCGCCGCCGTATTCTCTCTCACTTTCGCCAAAAATGCCGAAAATCCAACTTTTGTAATTTCGTTTTGCGCAATATTTATTTCAAAAATTACTTGCAAATTTTGAAAATATTCTTTATCAGAAAAGATTATATTATTAATTTTAATTTTTTATTATTAATAATATTATTATTACATATAATAATTATTATTATTTATAATTAAAACATTTCAGATACTTAATTTAATTATTACACTGAAAAAAATTTTATTTTATTCAAATAACCAATTAATTGACTATTATCAATTAAATATTTAATTGAACCAAATAAATAATTTATGAGAGTCAATTAAATGGTATTTGCTTCAAATACTGAAGTTATTGATTAGAATACAATTTAATGGATAATTTAATTTTATCCAAGTAAATATTTAATTGATAATAATAGTCAATTAATTGGTTATTTGAATTAAATAAATTTTTTTTGCAGTGTAAATTAAATATCCTCTGGTCCAAGGTAATGAATAATTTTTATGGGGTGACAATGGATAATGTTATTATTGAATAAAATCAACATTTTTTATAATAGTGACTGCTGAAGAAAATTAAATTCCTTTGACTTATTATATACGACTTTTTTCAAATTTTAAAAAAGACAGAAAATATTTTTTTAAAAATTAAACAATTTTTGCATTATAAAAATTTTATTATCGTCTGATACAAAATATTTATCATTTTTCAAACTTGTATTTTTAAAAAAATTTACTTTTTTTATTTTAACAATTTTTATTATTTATTTTTCCAAATAGAAAAAGACAAATAAAATATTACTAGAGCTATGATTTCAGATTTTTGTGGTTTTGAAAAATTCAACTTTTTTAGTAGTTACTGAAAAAATATTAAGTTTTTTTAGTAGTGATAATCGATATTCACTCAGCAAAAATGATTGAGTTTTAATTTAAAAAATTTTAATTTTAATTTCTAAATATAATATTATAAATGTAAATTTTTTAAACTTATATTAAATTAATTTTGTATATGTATAAAAAATTAAATTTTTCCACTACGATCTTATTTAAAAAATTTAATTTTTAACTTTTTATTCTAAAAAAAAATTTTCACTTATTGTAAAACATTTCAATTTTCAATTGACTGAAGATATCTATAATTAAAACACATTGTATTAAACAATTTTTTAATTAAAATTCATAATTAAACAAATTTTATAATAACAATATTTTATTATTTTGATTTAAAAAAAATTTCTAAATTAATAATTAAAAAATTTTGTTTTTATTGAAAAGAAATAATTAATAAATTTTTTTTATAAAAGAAATTAATTACAATTAATAATCAAAATATTTTATTTCAATTGAAAATGTTAATTAAAAATAATTAAGTTTCTTTATTTTAAAAAATTGTTTTATTAGTTTTTTATTTTTATCACAAAAACACTTTGTTTTCAAAAAAGAAAAGTAGTGATATTGGCGAGAAATATGAAATTCTAGCCAATTCCAGCCTTTCATGACTCTAAAAATGCGATTTTTAAGCGGTAACCTTGGAAACGGCGAAAATTTGAAGAGGGCAGCTTACACTAACATACACTGAAAATTCAGTATGCTATATATATCGGTAGTCCCCACCACAGACCCTCGCCGCATCTAGTATATATATTTATTTATTTAATCTTAGATAACTAAGATTAAATTACAACTTTTATTGTCTAATTAGTCTTATTCATATACATAATTAATACTTTTACATTCATTTACTAATGTAAATTATTTTTTCCTTTATTTACATCGTTTTCATAAGTATTTATGAAAAATAACCTTGCTATAAAATCTCAATGAAATCTATGCTCATTTCAGTTAATTATTAATTATTCAAATTTTGAATTCTACTAGTTATAAATTATATTTTGAGATATGCAAGAGTAAATAAAAATTTCTAATATTATTGTATACTGTAAAATTGAGTAGTCAACATAACCTAAAATTAGTATAATAAATCGATATTTTAGGCAAATTCGATGGATCTGCTTCTTCAAATCCCAGGTCTAATGTACAAGACATTTTTTCATAAAAATAAATCACTTATTTTCACTTTAAATAAAGTAAAATAATTTAAAAACCGTAAAATATTTTCAAAAATTTTACAATTTCAATTTAATTTTTTAATGTATAAACTTAAAAAAAAATTAAAAACTTTCAACGCTAATATGTTTTAAAATATCTATATTTACTATTTCTTAAAAAAAACATAAAATTTTTTGATGCAAACTCCCTATTAGGAACAGATTTCAACTTTAAAGGCTTGTAACTTTTTTGTGTTTTGTAATATTGCATTAATTTTTTGTCTATTTTCTTGATCTTGGCGAGCACATTGAAGGGTTAAAAAATTGTTTTGATCAAAGCTGGGATTTTAGACAAAAAAGACGAAAAAGACGCATTTTTTCGAAATGACAAAATAGGGCTATTAGGAACAAGGCGTTAAAAACATTGGAAAACGTGTTTAAAGTTAATGAAGTTAATGTTTATTGCTCAAAAGTACACACACAATTTCAAACAAGTGTAAAAATGAAACTAAAAGAGCGAATGTGTGTTTTAAACGTTGGTAGTATCATCAGTTGAGCTCGATGATGGAGTCACCCTACTAAAAAAATAATGACAAAACATCAGAAAAATAATCAAAATTTCTGGTGTTTTTGAGCAGTTTTTCTTACAATTGCAGCTCAAAAACATGAAAAAGAAAAAGAACCCTTCAAAATACTGCCAAGAATCATGAAAACTTTTATGACTGCCACCGAATTTTTTTATAGCATAGCAAAAAATATTTTTTGGGGATGTATTCTTGTTTCTTTATGTAAAAAGTTCGTCACGCCTTTTATAACTTAGATAGAAAATCGTAAAACCAATATACCTTTTTTAATGTTTAAAATCATTTTTGTTTATTTCAACATTATATTTAATGTTTATAAACTCAGATTATTTTGAAGACTGTTTTACGTATATCTTATACTGTCTTGGATTAAAATTCAAAAATGATATCAGTTTTTACATATCAGTTATAGTTCACGAGATAGCTTATAATTTCTTCAAAATGAAGGTTTTGAGAATAAATTTTAGATATTTGGAAACATGAAATATCACAGATTCTAAATTTTTAAATTATAAACTTCCATTAGTTAAATTGCTCAAGTTTCAAGTAATAAAAT